TTCCACAAACGCACTCCAAAGGGTCTTCAGCTACAAAATTGTACACAAAAAATATATTAGAAATAACAAATTAAAGTGAAATGATTGGCATTGAGCTTTTTGTCCTTGAGGCGGTCTAAGGTATGTGAAACTTTGACGGAGGCAGTGATGCCAAACGAGTTTTTCTTGGTGTCTTGTATATTCTAATATTATACATCTGTCACCGTAACGCCATAAGTTATAGCGTGCTGTAATTTTGTGGTATTTTACGGGGTGTTTTCATCCTACCATATTAAAAAATGCGAATTCCAAATATGGAAAGATTACGCGTGCAAGCATCCTCTAATAGTAAAAACAAACATGGCTTGCCACCAGAGTTTGACTGGACTCCATACAAAGAAATTCACTGATTTCTGTTTTGGATTTCGGCATTCCCTTGATGTATCCTTGGATGGAAAAGATGTATAATAATGTTATAACGAGGATACCTCAAAATATGAACTCAGACAGTACACAGTCACATCAACCTCTGCTGCTCGTTGGTCAATACTCCAGCTATACTGTCTTCGTGCATGCTTTGAGGTATCCTCGTAATAACCTCGCATTATTCCAAGGCCATTTTATAAATTTTGGCCGTGAAAACTATACTATAATAACCAACGAAATACAAGTTTAGAGTTATAACATCAGTTTCCGTGTGCGAATTTATTCCTTGGTTTCCCAGTGTTCTAATATTTATGCAATGAACCCCTCGCCCTCCCCTATGCAGATGAAATTTCTAACATAACAGGAACTCGTAACTTGTCAATTGCTGCTATCCTATGTTATTACTGAAGCTTGGCCGAAAAAATCACATGCAAATTTTATTTAATTTTCTAGGTTGACGAAACCACAGGTCGTTACAATGGTAACTTCAAGACATACGCTTTGTGTGGAACTATCAGACGAATGGTAAGCTTTTTTTTTTTCGTGCACATTGTTTGGTATATATGTTAAGCAAAACTCAAACTTTGCAAACAAATCCAGTACTTAACCAAACCACCAAGCTGTATCAGTATTTTTGAGACAGCTGTGCATTTATTTTTCTATTTGATCATTAAAGACGCATTGTCTAATGGAGCAACTATGGTGTAGTCAAACCTGTCTTATGTGACCACTTTTTAGCAACATTTATGCCGATTTATCTTTGTTTGGGACACAAAATAATAATTAGAATGCATAAAACAATTTGTAATAATTACAAGTAATATTTATTGGATTTTCATTTTGATAAAAAATGTGTTTATGTATAAATTTGTCAAAATTTACGAGTTGGCAATGCATGAAAAAAATGCTCGCACATATAAAGACCTCCTGTCCATAAAGGCCATTTTAATAACTCCTTTGGGAGGTCACTATACACAGATTTGACTGTCATGCCAATTACATGCATTTGGTACCAGTACTTGTTCTCATCTATAACCGTTTATACTATATTATTTACCAGGGTGAATCAGATGATTGTATAAACAGATTAGCCGAGGAGGACGGTATTATGGCCAAGTAAACAACCATCAAGGTATGATGCTATAAATTATTGAATTCTATCAAAATTTCACACAAGCCACTGTTTTGCGAATTTAAAGCGAGAGGGTCGTCACCTGCACACACGAGGGAACTGAGTCCCAAGCGACGATAACATGCGCTCAAATGCAAAGGCTCATGGGTAGACGCTTGTTTGTAGACAATGACACGCTGTGGCCATCTGACACATGCGCAGGTGACGACTCCCCCGCTTTAACCTAATTGTACCAGCATCACTGTTCATACGGATTTGGTGAAAAAGGAAAAATATTAACTATTTGATTTTCTTGTTCATAGACTCATCAAATTTGTGAGAATTGTCTCTTGTAAAAAAATAGTTTGTGAAGTTATAAATGACCTCACAATGAATATTATTAATATTGTTTAGTTGCACTCTTGAGATCATTCCACTAGTGTGCCCTCTCGCTTGTATTTTGTGGGTGCCCTGAAGTCAAAACAAAATTCTGAAATCAATTTGAATCAGCTTGTTTACCCGCTGGGGAGGTTGGTTCACAAGGAAAAAATGAAATTGTCTCTGACTGTATTGATGAAACACAAACAAATTGTCGTGGCTGCCAATTTCAATCGATTTTACACATATTTATTTTGATTTTCTAAGTATACTGCCTCTGGGGAATGAATTCAAAGTGTGATTCCATTTAGATCCGGAATGGTTGATGCAAGAGTTCCATTTTGCATGAAATCTATGCATTCTTGCCCCTCTTTGTAACTATTGTTCTTACCCAGCACATGTATAGTTTCCCCTCATGTATAGTTTCATAGATTTGTGCTTTTTGTTTTTGCAGGATCAATAATTTCAAGAACCACCAGGATGATGTTCCGTATTAAATAGTGTGCATTTCCATGTTTTTAATTTGGGAATAAAAGCAAGCTACACTTACAAAGGTCTCTTCTTTTTTACTTGAGTAGCAAGGGGGGGTCATTCTGATTCATATGCCTTGCTAAATGCTCAATATCACCAAGTACCGGGTAGTTCTGTAGATTTGGATATAATTCAGTTTTTCAGCTTCTTAATGTGTCAAGTTACTGAATCGCACACAGGATAGTATCTCGTTTGATTAAAGCAAGATTGTCGTCACCAGGAATTGAGTCCCAAGCGGTAAGGCACATTAAAAACACAAAGGTTCATGCGTAGACACTTTTTTGTAAACAATGGCACGCTATGGCCATCTGACGTATGTGCAGGTGACGACTCCCCGCTTTAACGTCACGTTTTGATCAGTATAATTTGTGATTGCCGTTCAGATTTGATTTTTGGCAAGATTACTTTTACAATCTGTGGGTAACCACGACGTTGATTGGTTGATACATATAGCACACTCTTAATCTGAATATGCTAATTTACCACAAACAATCGATGACTGTTCTCTGTGCACACACTTTATCAGCTGATAGTTGCCATGGAGACGGAAGTGTGACTGTCCTTTTCTTGTAACTGAAAACATTTACATGGTTATTGAGTTAATGTTTCCAGACAGTAAAAAAAAAGCCACAAAAATAATAGGAAGGTAACTCGGCTCACTGGTAGATGCATTGCAGTTCTGTCATCAACAGGTGGTTGGCTGGTAAACTGTTAGACTATCGATAGGTCCCCTCTGGTATTTAGAAATGGGTTTTCACCTGGAAACCTGGGTGGTGCATTGCTGCAAAGTGCAAGACTAGATCTTTTGCCACACAGCTATGTTTTTTCCAGTGGGATACCAAGGAACTCTTGTCAGCACTATGACACGTCTGTGCTGGTGAAGGCTGTCTTGTCTGAGGTAACTTCTGATTACAGACTGAGACTTGTTTCCCACTAGATACGTTAGTGTTGTACATATAAACTCTGACCTGTTCATCTTTCGAAGTTGGAAAGTTTAAATCTGTGCTACTACTGCTTGTCAGTCGCCGCGATGTGTAGTCCCCTGTCTAGAAACTGACCTTGTGATCCGAAAATTGGCAAACTACCTGTCCTAGGGAGTCTGGTGAATAGTCACTTCAGGTTAATAGTAACATAATGGAGAAACTCCTGAATTAAGAAAGTTTTCAACAACAGTTCCAGAATCGACTACATGTATGTTACTAAACAACATTCTGGATGGGTTTTCAGTTTCCCCCAGTCTTGCCTCCATGTTTTGACCATGATTACATTTACCGAAACAATGAACATATTAAAAGAATACATATATAAGCCTCATATTTCATACAATATTATTTATTTAGTTAATAACCAATATACCACTAGCTTATGGCCAGACATAAATGTAATCACACTTGTCTATACAAAATATTAGCAGCCATTTTTCAAATAATAAAAGTAAACAACCTATTTTATACAAACTCATTAATAAGTAGAGTATACCAATGTACCACTATCTGATAACCGAACATAAATGTCCCATGCTTGCCTTTACAAGATAATGAGCACCCACTTCAAAAATGAAAGAATGATTCAGTGAAAATAAAATCTAGCAAATGTATCTATATTTTCATTAAACTCAGTGAAAATAAATTCTATACAAAGTATTTTCAGCTTATTTTATACTAACTTGTTAACTAGACTATACTGATATACATCACATCCAATAAAATATTTGCTCTTTTGAAAGACAAAATACAATTAGTAGTATGAAAAACATTTTTTTTATACAAAACTAGCTAACAACCACACTATACAAATAAGTCAACAGGTGTGAATCACATACACTATAAACTTTTTTTTTTTTGGTCACTGCATTTCTAAAATAAGTAACACATTCTGAATGTTTCTGTATCCTGTTCCACTGAACCAATTGCACTTGAGTAGACCTCTTGTCCAGTTATCAAATATTCTAACAAAACTGTTAATCGAGCGCTTGGTTGATGTGTGATATTTACAGATTGTAAATTTTCAGTTTGTATGTGATGATGTACATGTAGATCGTTCGATGAAATAATGGTCTTCAACCCCATATGTGTAAGCATGTGCTGTTTCAGATTACCAGACCATATAAAACACTTCTCACAATGCTTGCACCGAAATGGTTTCAACCCTGTATGCGTGTACACGTGTTGTTTTAGATGGCTAGCCTGAGCAAAACTCTTCTCACATTGATTGCACTTAAATGGTTTCAAACGTGTATGTGTAAGCAAGTGTTGTTTTAGATCACCAGACCATGTAAAACACTTTTTACACTGCTCGCACTGAAATGGTCTCAACCCTGAATGTTTGTGCATGTGCTGTTTTAGATGGCTTGACTGAGTGAAGTACATCTGACATTGCTTGCACTGAAAAAGCTGCAACCCAGCATGTGTTAGCAAGTGTTGTTTTAAATCAGCATACCACGCAAAACACATCTCGCATTGTTCGCATTTAAATGGCTTCAACCCTGTATGTGTGACCATGTGTTGTTTTAGACCATCATACCACGCAAAATGCTGGTCACATTGCTTGCATTTATGTGGTTTCAACCCTGTATGAGTGACCATGTGTGCTTTTAAATGACTCGGACGAGTAAAATACTTATCACATTGTTTGCACTGAAATGGCTTCAACCCTGAGTGTATTACCATGTGCTGTTTTAGATGGTTAGACTGAGTGAAACATTTCTCGCATTGCTTGCACTGAAATGGCTTCAACCCTGTATGTGTAAGCATGTGTCGTTTTAGATGACTTGGCCGTGTAAAATATTTATCACATTGTTCGCACTGAAATGCTTTCATCAACTGTTTGTTTTTATGGATAATGATCATTTTGCCATCACTTCTGTCTTGAAGATGTTGTAAAGCCATTGTAGACTCTGTATACAATTCTCTTTACAGCCTATATGATTTAACTTGCAGTTCTGGTACACGGGTTCAGTGCCTTTGACATTCTTTCTGTTATGGTTAAATGGCTGGCTGTTCTTGAAGTTAAAGTCTTCCTTAACAATACAATGGCAGAAGTTGTTGTTAACCTACAAAATAAAGTTTAGAAAATTTAATTCATAACAGACATTGGCAATATTGACAAGTCAAGTTTCCAGAAATTCTCAATCATGAGGACTATAGAGGTTTTGATTGGTTCCAGTGAGTGATACTGGACATGGGGGGGGGGGGGGAGCCATTTTGAAGTGTTTGCCTTCATGCAATAACACCCAAAGTCGTACTAGTATGTCATCCATTTTTAACTGTATGATAGAAACACAGTGATTTTTCACAGATGTTCGTATGTGTATTAACACACAGGGGATAGCCTTGAATATTGTCATTAAATGAAATATTGAGAATTTAATGTTGTTTTCAATAGCATGATGACATTTGCTGAGGTCACGGTTAGTAACTATGCTGAGGTGTACTTGTCTTGATGACAGTTATTGATTTATAAACAGTGTGTGTACTTGGTGCACACCATCTATAGACAGTATCTTTTACATGTACATGCAGTAAATCAGCCAATGGTTGAAGGAAACCTGCAAAGACTCATGGGTAATGTGCATTACCAAATTGTTTCTACAACCATGCAAGGAACATGATTTTCCTTGAATTTGAACTAAATTTGAGGGTCTTCAGAGTGGCATATTTTCTGTTTTAGCAGTACCGTAAAATCTGTATCAGAAGCCGCATTCCTAATAGAAGTCGCACCCATTCTTTTGGAATAATTGAGAACCAAAAATTCATCATTTCTCAAATGTGTAACTGCTCTAATAGAGACCGCATCCCCTCTATTGCATTGTAGCATTTTAATAGAAGCCGTGGTTTCTAATACAGATTATACAGTAATAGTTGAGTCAAGTATTTTACAAGAAACATGTTTAGAATACGAATGCGTTGCTACTTGTTACGTCTTTTGCAGGACACTTTTCATGATTTAACACTTGGTGTTAATTTGCTGCATTCTGTCCATGAAATCTGAAAAATGTCATACAAAAAATAAGTTGTGAATAATAAAGCAACACATTCGTTGTACATTTAATATATTACCATTAGATATGAACTCATATTGAATTTACTGTTATATCAAGGCCGTAACGACCAACCTGTTTTAGGGTCGTAGCATCCAAACCAGGGCAGTAACGTCTTTAATTACTGGTACCAGGGCCGGAACGTCTAGAAATCCTTAACCCCCCCCTCCCCATTGTCTAACCATGGAGCTAAAAAACTCCATGATCCAACTTTACTCTTCAACTTGGCATACACGTGACTGTGTACTCGACTCGAGTGTCCCGGAGAGTCGCGTTTATCTCAGTTTGGCGTTTAGTTATTTATATGTCAATTTCACTATCGATGAAATATTATAGTATCAGCGTTACAATCGATAGTCAAATCACAGTCCTTCTATCCCTCTCTAGAGGGACTGTGGTCAAATTGACCAAAAAATAACAAAGCGTCACCCGGGATACACACGACTGTGAGTGGCCTTCCCGGGCAACTCATTGACTTGTGTCCTTACTTATTATTTGTACCTTCACCAGTATCTTCAAAAACATGTCTGACAAGTATACTCTGGTCTTAGACATCTATCACTTACCTAGCATTGAGACCACGGTTAATTTCAGACGTTAGCTTGTTCTGTAATCTGTTTCATGAAATCAATGGAACAATGACTGAGTGAGAGCCCAGTTGACCTCAAACAACGCCCTCAACGACAATACTATTTTAAAACAGAATTATTCACTACAGATGGCGCTCTTAGGGTAGAAGCCTACCCTTGAACTCAACTTACTTGGAAGTTATCCATTTTAGTAAATTCTACTTCCGGGCAATATAAGAATATTGACCTAAAAAGTTGGGGGTCACCATAATAATTTCCAAGAAAATTGTATTTTAGTGGATATAGTGGCAATTTTGGCAGTATTATCGTGCTTTTACCATAGGTTCCTATGGCGAGATATACGATTCCTCAAATTGTAGGGTAGTGGCATAGGCTGAAAAAAAATATTGTTAATTATCAGGTACTTTTTGCAATTGCAACTGTTCTAATAATAGCGATTTTTGAAAAAAAATTTTAGTACAAGTTTCTCAAAATATGTCACTGTAACACACAAATAAATTGCTGTTTTATGGTGCCATGGGACAATAGCTCAATGATTTTACATAATGAACCAATAAACATTGTCGTGCTATTTATGTCCAACTTTCTCATTATTATGAGTAGTAATGGGTCTAGCATTTAATAGTTCATCACAATCCCGCGTTGACGCTGGAGGTCGGCGTTCTCATCGTCTGTGCTGGAACAGCGCCTCCTGTGACGACACAACGCAATCTCCTTCCCAGAGGTCTTTGCGCTTTACGTGTATAAATAAGTGATAAGTACTGTGCGGCAAAGGCCTTCAGATCTGGCTGTAGTAGGATGGTGAAAGTAATGGTACAGCATTACAACAGTGAATAAGTACTGAGAAATAATATTAAACTCATAGTTGCTGTTGACATAGGAAGGAAAGTAACGGCAAGGTAAATACTACGTCAAATTATAGTAAACACGTACTGCGTGCGTGACTCGAACCGGCGCTCGCGTACGGCACCTAATCGCCTAGCTTCACGTACAAT